GAAGCATGAGCCCAATGTTGAACAGGTAGTAAATCACCTACAAAACATAATCAACTCATACCAAGCATCTGAATTTGAATACATACAGTTGATAAAGAACACATATAGACATCTTGCACAACATTTTACAAGTAGTACTCTCATTACATTACAGTCTCTACCATCGGTATTTACAGAATATGGTTTCAAGAGACCCAAAGAAGTTTACACTTCAGTAAATGAGGGAGATATAAAATTGCTACCATACCTTTATCCACTACCATTTGACTTGCGTGAACACTCAGGCTTTTTCATGGTTCTTGGTTGCTTTGAGAGTCAGACTACAGAATTATTTGTATTTTTACTTGGGGAGATCCAAAACAGACATGTAGTAGGGGAAGAAGTAAACCCTGAAGTTGACAGACGTTTGGTAATATCTATCCTTAGAAAATTGCAGGACAATATAAAAGACATAGATCCTTCTCAATTATTGCTTCCCATTGAAACAGAGGATGGAAGTTTGAGACTCATTGAGATTGGGAAATGCTCATACTCAAGTGAGGCATGTGAATGGTTGGACAGTGAAGAATTGTCAGTAAGTATTGTACACAGAGATGTGGGGGCCTCACTGGCAGAATCTTTAGGTGTAGAGTCATTAAGTAAGCATATGCTGGCAGGTGAGGAAGCTTTCATGGAGTGGGGGCAGTATGAGCCTCTCACCACTCGCCTACACAACCTCCTGCGTCAGTATCGAGATGGATTAGCTGTCTTTAAGGAGATGGTGCAAAATGCAGATGATGCTGGTGCTAGAACAGTATCGTTTCTCTATGACGAGCGTCTAAATAAAGATGCTCGTACAAGGCTAATAAATGCAAAATTGCAGGAATGTCAGGGCCCCGCTCTGTGGGTCTATAATGATGCTAACTTTACAGAAGTAGACTTTGAAAATCTCCGAAAACTAGGGGCTGCAACAAAGGAACATCAACCTACCAAAATAGGCAAGTTTGGTCTTGGATTTTCATCAGTGTACAATCTGACTGATGTTCCAAGTTTTGTAAGTGGAACCAGTTATGTTATATTTGACCCTCATCTTTCATATGTGGAAGGAAAAAATCAGACTCCTGGTGTTAGATATAACTTTGCAAAGGAGAAAAATTCTGTCATGCTTAAAAAACTCAGTGGGCAATTTAAGCCATTTAAAGAAGTATTTGGTTGTGATATTCAAAATGTAGGCAGTTATGATGGCACATTGTTTCGCCTCCCATTGAGAACTCCACAGCAAGCAGTAGTGAGTGATATATGTAAAACAAGTTACCAAAGGGCAGAGATGATTGAGCTTTTGAAAAAGTTTAGTGATATCATTGGAGAAATTCTACTTTTCACACAGAATGTCAAAGAAATAAAAGTATTTCACTTGAAGGAGAATGCATTATTACCAGAGGATAAAGTTTTACTAATGGAGAGTTCAAGAAAAGAAAAGGAAAAGACAAGAATACAGCAAGATATGCTTGTTGGGGTTTCATCAGCAGAAAGTATTATGGAGTGTGTAGGAAAATTATTCCGTGAAGATCACACCTGGAAGCAAGAAGAATTCCACCAGAACATTGTATTAAACATAACTGTGACACATACAGCAGATGCAGCAAAATTATGCAACATAAGACATAATACCAGTGCTGTCACCTGGTTTACCTCTTGGCATACAGGTCATGGCGATTCCTGCAGACTTGCAGAAAAACTGAGTGGAAAGGCCCTACCTGTTGGAGCCGTGGCAGCACCCCTGCAGAAAGCAGGAAATTCATGGCAACCTATAGAGCTAGACAAACTTCCACATGGATTTTATAAGAAGAGTCACATGCATTGTTTCTTGCCACTGCCAGTTTCAAGTTCCTTAATGGTTCAGATCAATGGCTTTTTCGAAGTAGCATCTGACAGGACATCCCTCTGTACAAGAACTGAAGATGACCGCATTAGCTCGCAGGACTGGAACACCACTCTGATAAGGGATGCAGTGACAGCTGCCTACCATACCCTTCTAACTACTATCCGCTTGAAAGGTCTTGATCAAAATTGCAAGTACTATACTTTATGGCCACTCTGTGAAGAAGTGCATGATAGCCTTGCATCTAAACTTTCACAGTCTTTTTACAAATTGATTGTGGAAAATAACTTGACAGTGTTTCGTGATGAGAGTTTGTGGTTGCCATTTTCTAAATGCTTATTTCTAGAAGAAAGTATCCACCAAACAAAATCAATTGGTAAATATGCATTTAACTTCATGAGAAACATATTAGAAGCATCATTGAAGATTGTTGAATTACCAGAGAGGATTTCTTCTGGTTTTGCTCATGAAAATATTTCACGTAAGATTATTACTCCAGAACAATTTTTTGAATGCTTCTTCATTCCTAACATGAGAAAGCAGTTTGTAAAAGGACAACGGAAAAATTTGACATTGTATGCTTTAGATCATTACCCGGGTATTGCCCAAAAAAAGGGAGAGATTTTTTACATTGCAACTACCCCAAATGGAAATCTGAAAAAGGTACATGAGCTCATTCTGCCAAACTCTGACATTGCTCCACTGTATGAAGTCTCAGATGAAAGGTTCCCTGAGGAAGTTTTCTTGAATAGTGGTCACCGTAGAGATATTCTGAAAGATCTTGGTATTATGACGTCAAAGATCACAATAGAAATGATATGTGAAAGAGCACAGACTGTAAAGGATTTAGCTTGCACAATGTGTGGAATTCAGAGGGCTTCACACATTCTAAAATATTTGAATACTAACGACAATATCTGCAAAGAAATCAAGGACATTAGCTTTTTGCCAGTCATGCCCAAACCTGAGGAGTGGATTGTTAGCTGGAGAGGTGAATCTTTCCCCCCTAAACTCTCAACAGCTTGTAAAAAACACAGACAAAAAAGTACATCTACCTGCAGTATATCTTTTTCAAAACCAGAATCAATGTGTTGTGAAGAAATTAGGTCATTAGCTGGTAGCACACATGCAATTCTTGATAAGTCAATTCCATTTTGGGTTGGCAAAAGTTTGGTTTGGAAATCCTTAGGCATGATTACTAATGAGAAAGATTTGCCAAGTGAGATAGCCATCAACCAGCTGAATATCTTCAGGGAAGAATTAAAAGATAACTGGTCAAGAATTGGAGAGCAGTGTCATCAGATTTACAAGTACCTAGATAAGTGCATAATAGATAATGATTTAGATGTGGCAAACATGACTGACCAAAAAATACTCTTAACTAAATTTGGTTTTATTGAGCCCAACCGCTTTATATGCACAAGCAATGAAAATTGTGCTCCTGATCTCTTCTCTGTAGAAACAGAAAATCTTAGCCAATACAAACACCTGATGAATGCTCTCAACATTAAGAAACATTTTCATCCCAAAACTGTATTTGAAATTTTGCTTTCCAAAAAAGGAAAACACAAAACGACCAGATTATCTAATGAAGAGGTGTGTCAGATTTCAAGGCTCCTTCATCTGCTGTTCAATGAAATGGCTTGTTACCCAAATTCAGAAGAAGAAATAGATCTCTCCCAACTTCACCTTCCAGACTCTGATGGACGCCTGGTACCTTTAGGGCAACTTTGCATTGATGACAATGCAATGCTCAGTTCAGGCAAATTTAAGTATCTAAATGAGAAATTTTCTCTCACACAAAACTTTATTGATAGACTGGGCCTTAAAACAAAATCCAGGAAACGTCTAGAGGAATCATGCAATCGCTTAGCATTTGGACAACATGAATTGCTTACAACAAGATTAAGGAACATCTTGAAGGAATACCCATGTGATAGTGGAATAATGAAAGAGCTGTTGCAAAATGCTGATGATGCTGGAGCAAGTGAAATTTCTTTTATCAAAGATTTTCGCCATCATTCTGACAAGAAAATACTTGACAAATCACTTGCTCCTCTGCAAGGACCTGCACTTTGTGTATACAATAATAAATGTTTCCAGGAAAAGGATATAAAAGGCATACAAAATCTTGGTGACAGTAGCAAAGAAAAGGATCCAGCAAGTACAGGGCAATATGGTATTGGCTTCAATGCTGTGTACCACCTCACAGACGCACCATCATTCCTCACACGTGGACCAGATACCCTGTATGGAGAAGACCAAAGAGAAACATTGTGTTTGTTTGATCCTCATTGTTGGTATGATCCTTTGGCAACAAAAGAGTACCCAGGGGCTCAGTATGTAAACTTAGATAATTTAAGGAAGGATTACCCCGACTCTTTTTCAGGATACTTGGATGGAATGATTCTAAAAGAAGAAGGCACTGTGTTTCGGCTTCCTTTAAGAACTCGTACAGACTCAGATATATCAAATACTGTCATGACCCCTTCAGAATTAGAAGAGAAAATTGAGGAATTTAAAGAGGAAATGAGAATGTGCCTGTTGTTCTTAAGAAGTGTTCGGAAAATTTCCATCAAACACATTAAAGAGAATGGAGAGTGTGTTGAAGAATACTGTGTTGACGCATGTATAACAGATGAAGATGAAAATATGATCAGAGAACTGAGAAATTATATGTCACAGAGAAGACAAAGTATCACAAACAAAGATAACTTGAATGATTATTTTCTTAATATGATGAGAATATCGTATAAGATGGAGGTGAAGGATAACCTTGCATTACATGATCACTGGTATGTAACCCAGCAACTTGGTGCTGAAAGCAGTCAGTGTTTACCCTCAGAGGAAATACAACAAGAATTTCTGGTGGGTTCATTCAATCTCCTCCCTCATGCAGGAATTGCTATATTGCTAGATTCCACTTCTAAAATAAACAGTGAGCAAATGGCCACATCTTGTTATCTACCTTTGCCTGCTAAATCAGGTTTGCCTTTTAGTGTTAATGGGCATTTGATTTTAAACAGTTCACGACGAGACCTGTGGACAGGAAATGACTTGAAGCATATGTGGAATGAATGGCTCATGAAAGAAGTCATGATTCCGGCTGCTATTCAGACAGTTTCCCTTTGCAAAGAGTTGATTTTCTGTGGTATCAAAGAGACAGTTGCATATGGTGTCTATAAAAAGAAAGCTCGTAAATTTTATTGTATTTTACCAAATCCAACTAAGATTAATGACAAGTGGAAGAAATTCTCACAGTGGTTTTTGGAATATGTAGACAAGCATCAGATTTCCATATTTAATGTTTTCACTCCACACACAGATATATCTACTTCAGATGACTGCAAATATGGAATTGTTGCTCGATGTAGGAATTTCTTTACTAATCCTAAAGAAACATTCGGCCACCAACAGAGAAATCAAGCCTTAGAAGAATTAGTAGGGACACTAACTTGGCATTCACTTACAAAAGATGGAGACCAGTTTCCTCTTTATTTTTCAAATGACACTCCTTACAATCTTTTGAATTCTCTCAAGAGACTGGGAATGAAAATTGGCACCAGGACAATGGAACAAAGGTTAAAAGGTGCAAAAGTTAGTTACTTCAGTGTGACACCTGATGTTGTCCTTGGATTCTTTTTATCATGGACCAGTCAACACCCCGACAGATGTAAGTTAAATGTAGAAAACCACATTGAAACAACCCCAATTTTGTCAGATAAAAATGCTTGTGAGATTTTAAGTTACCTCTTTCTATCAGAAAAATTTGCACAAGAGATGAATAATTTTCCCATGCTGTTAACTCAGGACCATTATTTACATGTTTTCAGTGAAGTAGAACCAGTTTTCATATCAAGTTACAGTGACTTGCTGCCACACTCAAGACATGAATTTTTACATGACAAAATGGTAAAGAAAGTTTGGTCATTTCATAAACAGAGTCTACCGTCAGTTCTCAGGCCATTTTCAGTTTCAGATCTTGCTGAAAGAATAGAGACAGTGTTAGACCAGTCATTTAAAAACACTGATATAATGAAACTTTCTGTAGTTGATGGGTTAACAGAAGAATGGCTTAAAAGATTGTGGTACTTTGTACATGAAGACATTAAACAAAATTTCAGTTCAAATGATAATGAAGTTGATTGGGAGAGAGGAAAGATGAATCTGCTGGCCATGCTAGGAGACTGGCCATTATATCCCATCACTGTAAATAACACGTCACATTTTATCCCAATTAAAAATGCTTATTGTGTCTTACAGACAGACAAATCCAGTGACAGTTTTAATCAGTTGCCCATTCCACGCCCACATAATGAATTTGATATCCCCATTGAGCTTGGACTCGCAGCAACATTGGATAATCCAGAAGCAGTGTTAAGGGCACTGCATTTTCACAGAGATAAAATTGGTGCAAGTGCTGCATTAAGAAACAGATCTCAAAATATCAGGATCTTAGAATACTTTGGTGAGAAGATAAACAAGCAACACAGACTCTGCCGAGAACAACTACGATCCCTTCCCTTATATGAAAATATCAGTGGTAAATATGAAAGTGTAACAGATAAAGAGATTATTGTTCCTGTGACCACAAATATTAAAGCAGAGAATTTCAAGCACTTCATTGAAGGGAATGGCATAGCATTATTGAAAGCTACAACATCCGAGACTTTGAAGAACTTGTACATCTATCTTGATTCATCATGCATAATGGAAGACCTAGAAATCTATAGCCAGTATGTCCTACCTAATCTGAAAGACATGGATTCAGAGGAGAGGGTCAAGCATCTAAAGTTTCTTAGAGGTGAACTAGAGAAAATAAGATATAGTCAAGAGTCATCATGGCCAACTAAAGAGAGGAATGTTATTACTCAGCTAAGAGTTACCCCCTTCATCCCATTGGGTGGTTCACTACAGACAGCAGACCATTTTTATGACCCCTTAAATGCAGTTTTTGAAGTGATGGGTCTTTGCAACTTGCCAAATGAATGGTGTGCATTGGAATGGCAGTGGTTTTTAAAGCTGGTAGGAATGAAACATGAAATATCGAGTAAAATGTATTTGAAGTATATAAAGTCATTGTCAATAACTGATCCTAATGTTGAAGTCAAGTCAACAACACTTGTGGAGCATTTATTTTCAAACCATAAAGAGTTGGAAGATTCATTTTGTGAAATCAGAGACATTGAGTTTATTGTTCCATTTAAAAGCCAGTTTTGTGAAAGTATCTCATCCCATTATGAGACTAGCTCTGGCTTAACGTCTTTCTCTAAATCTTACCCCACAACCTTAGGAAATTTAGTATGGACTTCAGCTTGTCTCTTACCATATTTTGCTCTACCACATGACAAAGAATTGAAAGAAAAGCTAAACATTTCAAGTACTCCTTCAGAGAACACAGTTTTCAATCATATAAGAAACATTTGCACTGAACTACAGAAGAACAGCAAATCTGAAGAGAAAGTGTCTAAAGTCATGGCTGATGTATATGAATATCTCATGAAAGCTAATAATGATGCTTTACTTGAGAAGATTGTATGTGCTGAAATTCCTGTGATTCACATTCCACACCTAAAGACTTTTGTGACTACAAATTTAGTTGTATTATCTTTGGATTGTAGTTTAGCCCCATATTTATATAAGGCACCAACAAAGTATGGACTATATTTTCCTGTTTTTGAAAGAATGGGTGTACAAGCAGAAGTAACTAATAACACATATGCAAAAGCATTGAACATGATAGGCATGAATAGCCAAAATAATGTTTTAAACCCAGAGGAGTTTAGATGTGTCAAAACAACATTGAATGGTATGTTGAGAGATAGGTGGAATTTAAAAGATATTGAGGTTTGTGAATTGTTTTTACCAACCAGTGATAGGAAACTTTCATTATCCTCATGCATGTATGTTGCAGACACTCTAGAGCTTGAAAGAGCATTATGGAGAACTTTGGATAAACCATTACTAATGAATTTTGAGTGCTTAAAAAATTATTCTGCAACAAATGTAGACTTTGTTAAACTTCTACCAGAGAGACTACGCCCCACATTTTTGTCTTCTGTAGTAAAACAAGAATTTAAAGAACATGGAATAAACTTGGTCAACAGCCAGATTGTTAGAGAGGTTCTAAGTGGTTTGGAAACACAAGAGTTCAAGACAGCTGTCTTAAGGGTATTTAATCATGCCAGTCAAGACAAACTTTGCAAGGAGAAAGAAAAAGAAATACTAGACAAGCTTGAATGTGTTTCTTTGAAAACAGTAGCAGAAATTACGGTAGACCTCAAATTTCAAGGGCAGGTAATAGGATCAAAGACTTACACTTATGGATATCATCTTGATGATTATGTCAAAAATGAAATAAGAAATATTATAATATACTTATGCCAAACCGGTGAAGAGAAATTCCTGTTACTTGGTCTGTCTTGTGCATTTCGGAGACTCCTTGGATATACAGGTGATACCAATGAACATATGATGGCAATATTCATGTCTCTTCAAGAGCCAAGTGAAATCCATCAGCTCTTGGACAGGAAAGGTATTAAGGCATCTGCTAATTCCCAAGTTGAAGACAGTGTCCGCATGTATAAATCTGATGTTGGTTCTTATCTCCATGTAGACTTTATACATTTACTGGACAATGAACTATATTCCTTCCATGAGGGGGAACTGGTGTGCATGAAAAAGTATATCCATGGAGAATTATTAGACCGTGAAGAAGATATTTTCATCATCGTGCAAGTAAAAAGACGAGTCACAAGTTTTGACAACCCAATACATGATATGAATGAAGTAAGTGACACTGGATCAGAAGCTGAACCTCTCTTAACTGTGAAAGCTTACAAGTTGTACAAATTTATAAGAAAAGCAACAGTTTGTAGAGATATTGTCCCAAAGGATTCTGTACCAGAGGAAGATGACGAAGATGCAGTCATGAAAAATGTTAGGATGCAGGTAATAGAGATATGGAAGGTTGAAGATCCAAGCAATAGAAAACACCTGCTGCGTCGACTAATGCTCAAATGGCATCCAGATAAAAACCCTGAAAAAGTGGAGTTAGCAACCCGAGTCATGCAGTATATCCAATCCCTCTTGAGCCGCCTGGAATGCGGAGAAATAATACCAGAGGATGACGATCATAATACTTTTCCAAGTAGACAGCCCAGTTCATTCTACGAGGACATCTTCCGCTCTCCTCCTAGTTATTACAGAGAGCCCAGGAGTTCAAGCAGTGGTACATCCTCTTTCAGCTACTCCAGAGGCCCCTCATCCTCATCACACAGAAACCAGGAAAGAACAAGGATGCCAGACAAGCCGGAAGCCCACAAGTGGTTAAAACAAGCAGATCACGATCTAAAAGAAGCTGAGAGGCGAGGGGATGGATCCAGCTGCTGGATCACCTATATGTGTCATCAGGTATGTCTGGGTTCATAACTGGGGATAACAATGCACCTTCATCTGCCCAAATATTCAGCATAATATCAAACAGAAAGACAGTAAATTGATAATCCTAGAATGAAGAAACTACTATCAGCAGTTCAATATCGTTATTATTAGAATCTGTCCCAGTAATAGTAGTACAAGGCTATCAACACATCGATAATATTAATGTTGTCTCTCTTTCTTTCTTTTTCTCAGTTTTCTACCTCTCCCTCTTTCACTCTGTCCCCTCTCTTTCTCTCTCCCTCTCCCTCCCTTTCTCTATCCCTCTCCCTTTCACTTTCTTTCTCTCTTCCTCTCCCATTTCTTTCCCTCTTTCTCTTATTCTCTCCCACTTCCTCTCTCTCTTTCTCTCTCCCACTCCCTCTCTCTTTCTCTCTCCCACTCCCTCTCTCTCTTTCTCTCTCCCACTCCCTCTCTCTCTTTCTCTCTCCCACTCCCTCTCTCTCTTTCTCTCTCCCACTCTCTCTCTCTCTCTCTCTCTCTCTCTCTCTCTCTCTCTCTCTCTCTCTCTCTCTCTCTCTCTCTCTCTCTCCCACTCTCTCTCTCTCTCTCTCTCCCACTCCCTCTCTCTCTCTCTCTTCCACTCCCTCTCTCTCTTTCTCTCCCACTCCCTCTCTCTCTTTCTCTCTCCCACTCCTCTCTCTATTTCTCTCTCTTCTCTCTCTCTCCTCTCTCTCTCTCTCTTCTCTCTCTCTCTCTCTCTCTCTCTCTCTCTCTCTCTCTCTCTCTCTGTCTCTCTGTCTCTCCCCCTCTCTCTCTTTCTCTCATCCACTCCCTCTCTCTCTTTCTCTCTCCCACTCCCTCTCTCTCTTTCTCTCTCCCACTCCCTCTCTCTCTTTCTCTCTCCCACTCCCTCTCTCTCTTTCTCTCCACTCCCTCTCTCTCTTTCTCTCTCCCACTCCCTCTCTCTCTTTCTCCCACTCCCTCTCTCTCTTTCTCTCTCCCACTCCCTCTCTCTCTTTCTCTCGCACTCCCACTCTCTCTCTCCCATTCCCTCTCTCTCTTTCTCTCTCCCACTCCCTCTCTCTCTCTTTCTCCTTTCTCTTCCCACTCCCTCTCTCTCTTCTCTCTCCACTCCCTCTCTCTCTCTTTCTCTCTCCCACTCCCTCTCTCTCTTTCTCTCTTTCTCTCTCCCACTCCCTCTCTTTCTTTCTCTCTCCACTCCCCTCTCTCTCTTTCTCTCTCCCACTCTCCTCTCTTTCTCTCTCCCACTCCCTCTCTCTCTTTCTCTCTCCACTCCCTCTCTCTTTCTCTCTCCCACTCCCTCTCTCTTTCTCTCTCCCACTCCCTCTCTCTCTTTCTCTCTCCCACTCCCTCTCTCTCTCTTTCTCTCTCCCATTCCCTCTCTCTCTTTTTCTCTCCCACTCCCTCTCTCTCTTTCTCCCACTCCCTCTCTCTTTCTCTCTCCCACTCCCTCTCTCTCTTTCTCTCTCCCACTCCCTCTCTCTTTTCTCTCTCCCACTCCCTCTTTCTCTTTCTCTCTCTCCCTCTCCTCTCCATTTCCCTCTCTCTCTTTCTCTCTCCCTCTCTCTTTCTCTCTTTTTTTCTCTATCTCACTCCTCCCTCTTCTCTCTCTCTTCTGCTCCTTCTCTCTTCCTCTCGCCCTGCACTAAAATGACATTGAGTAAACTAAAATTATATAAAACATGTAAGCTAAACTACATGTATTGGCTTCTTTACAAAAGTTTTTTTTAAATTCTTACAAGAAATAACCAACAAAAAGGGATTAACAGTAATTCCAATGTTGGTTCTACTCAAAGGAATTACCTCAGCCTCCCATGTCATTCTTCCGTTTTGAATAAGCCTTCTCCATTTTATGTCATCCTGTAAATCATTTTACAATACCTCTTTCCTCTGACTTAAACCTCTCTGATTTGTAGCTCCTCTTTGGTCTTCTCGTGGTCACTCTTGCTCTTCCATTGTCATCACTTGCCCCACCTCTTATTCATTCCCATTCCGTGATAGCCTTGTTTCTTGTCCCTTCCTACTTATTTTAGTTTAACCATTCCCTTTGTGATTGTGTTCCTGGTGCCACTTCCTTTATGTTTGCGTTCCTGGCACCACAAAATATTGATCAAATTTGACTTTATTCACAGGCAGCCGAGAAAGTCCTGAAAGCAGCTCTATACCTGGAGGACAGAGACGCGGCGCAGAGTTATCAAAGTGGCTCACAGTGCCATTCCCTGACTGCAGTGGCACAGCAACTGTCTTGTAGCAGTATCTTGAGCTTGGCAAGGGATATGGAATGTCATGTTGGCCATCATACCTACATGAGATACCCAACAAGCTTAGGAGTCCCATGTGATCGCTATGCCCAACATGATGCTGAATTTATGCTGGAGAAAGCAGTGACCTTATGAAAAATTGAAGCTAGGTTCCCATCCCTGTGATTACTTTATTAGTATAAAGCTCCAAATTAAAATCATACATTATAGGACTTTTCCATCACCATGCCTTTCTAGAAAGTGCTCTACATATTTCACATCACAGGAGAAAATGTATTAAAGTGTTTATTTCTACTTATAATGTTAGCTATAACTTCAGAGATTTCAAAACCTGATTATTTTGTAAAGAGTATATACTTTCACATGCTATGGTAGTTTAGTTCCCCCTTTTTTTCAACATTAGATGGATTAGGAATAACATTTATGTTAGTTGTGAGTGTTCTGGGATTTCCAAGAGTGATTATTCAAATATTTTACATACCATGTTAGATTTATGCCCTACAACATACATGGTTCAAATCCAATCCCGAACACACGAAAATATGTTTTTCATTGTTTAGGTTAAGTTTATGAACTTTATTGGCAAGACCTCTGTCCTTGACTTCACGTTTTGCATCATTGATTTATCCTATGAGTAGTTTTTATGTATTCCTTTGAATCCCTCAATGCAAGAGGGTGGCTTATATAGTGTTACATGAATAGACATTGCAAGATTTATATTTTACTTAGTTCTACAGTGTGAATATACAACTGGGTAACATTTCTCAATATTTTTGTTGGCAAGATGCATTCCTATTTAGTTATCTTTAGTTTTAGTGTCTGTGTTTCAAATTGTATTTTTATGTCTTTATTGTTTATACAAGTGAATTTCCATATACAAAGTATCTATATTTATAGAGGACGGCTGTATTTTATTTTTGAAAATTTTCAAACGTTAACAGTTGATTTGTATACATTTTATTGAAAATAAAATTTGCTGAATATGAATTTTTGCTCATCATACCTAATGTGAATTAGAGGTTTAAATAACTCTCTCACNGTGTGTGTGTGTGTGTGTGTGTGTGTGTGTGTGTGTGTGTGTGTGTGTGGGTGGTCTGTGTGTGTGTGTGTGTGTGTGTGTGTGTGTGTGTGTGTGTGTGTGGTGTGTGTTGTGTGTGTTGGTGTTGGTGTGTGTGTGGTGTTGTGTAGGGTGTATATATATATATATTAAATATTATATATATATATATATACTACTCATATATATATATATATATATACACTATATATAATATATATATATATATATATATATATATATATATATATATATATATATATACATACACTCATATATATATATATATATATATATATATATATATATTATATATATATATATATATATATATATATATATATATATTATATATAATGTATGATATTAATGCCCAAATGCGCGCGTGTGTACAAACATATGCACATTATATCCATCCTCGATATCTACCCTCTCTGTCTCTCTCTACACGTCACACACAGCAGCCATACACACAACGCCAATGCATCTCTACACATAACAGAATCCACAACCAACGAAGCTACAACAACCAACAAAGGCTACAACACCAACTATACAAAACACCAACGAACTACAACAACCAACTAGACTACAACAACCAACTATACATACAACAACCAACTATACAACAACCAACTATACAACAACCAACCACTATACAACAACCAACGAGACTACAACAACCAACCGGGGCTACAACAACCACCTAGACTACAACAACCAACTATATACAACAAACAACCAACTATAACAACAACCAAACTAGAACTACAACAAACCAACTATACAACCAACGAGACTACAACAACCAACTAGACTACAGCTAACTAGACTACAACCAACGAAGCTACAACCACCAACGAGGCTACAACCAACTACACTACAACAACCAACTAGACTACAGCAACCAGCTATACAACAACCATCTACACTATAGCAACCACCATGCTACAACAACCAACTATATACAACAACAACCAACTAGACTACAACAACAACTATAAACAACAACTATACACAAAAAACCAGCTATACAACAACCAACTATACAACACGCAACTACACTACCAACATACAACAACACAACACCACAACCACCAACTACAACACCAACTAGACTACAACAACCAACTAGACTACAACAACCAACTATGCAACAACCAACTATACAACAACAACCAACTAGACTACAACCACCAACTACACTACAGCAACCAACTAGACCAGCAATCACCAAGCTGCAACAACCAATTATACAACAACAACCAACTATACAACCACCAACGAGGCTACAACAACCGACTAGACTACAGCTTCCACCATGCTACAAAAACCAACTATACAACAATCAACCAACTATACAACAACCAACTAGACTACAACCATCGAGACTACAACCACCAAGAGACTACAACGACCAACTAGACTAGAACAACCAATTATACAACAACCAACTATACAACAACAACCAACGAGACTACAACCAACTATACAACCACCAACTATACAACAACCAACTATACAACAACAACCAGCTAGACTACAACCAACTATACAACAACAACCAACTATACAACAACCAACTAGACTACAACAACCAACTAGACTACAACCAACTAGACAACAAGCACCAAGAGACTACAACAACCAACTATACAACAACAACCAACTATACAACAACAACCAACTATACAACAACCAACTAGACTACAACCAACTATACAACAACCAACTATACAACAACAACCAACTATCCAACAACCACCAACTAGACTACAACCACCAACGAGACTACAGCAACCAACTAGACCAGCAATCACCAAGCTACAACAACCAATTATACAACAACAACCAACTATACAACCACCAACTATACAACAACCAACTAGACTACAACCAACGAGACTACAACCACCAAGAGACTACAACAACCAACTATACAACAACAACCAACTATACAACACCTAGACAACCAACAGACTAAACCACATACAACTACTACACAACCAACTAGACTACAACCAATGAGACTACAACCACCAAGAGACTACAACAACCAACTATACAACAACAACCAACTATACAACCACCAACTAGACTACAACCAAGAGACTACAACCACCAACTAGACTACAACAACCAACTACACTACAACCACCAACGAGGCTACAACAACCAACTATACAACAACCAACTAGACTACAACCAAGAGACTACAACAACCAACTACACCACAACAACCAACTATACAACAACAACCAACTATACAACAACAACCAACTATACAACAACAACCAACTAGACTACAACCACAACAGGCTACAACCAACCACCATGCTACAACAACCGACTAGACTACAGCTTCCACCATGCTACAACAACCACCAACTAGACTACAACCACCAACTATACAACAA